CACAGGTAAAGTTTCATTCAGCAATTGAAGTGAAAAACTCTCAAATAATCCAGCGGCTTTTCTGTGGCTTGGAACTTTTATCGCGATATCAACAACAACTCTCTACCGGAGGGTACATAGTAACGGTTGCTAAGCAGTCGCTAGGGGCGGGGACAATTGAACTGTCATTTACTGTGATGTAATCGGCTTGCCTTTGAACCTTTGAACTTCTGTTTGACGTCATCAGCCAAAAAAGCCATAAATAGGAGCAGGAACTGTCTCTGAAACACAAACTTGCAACTTGCATTTTACACGCTTTCAACCTGGAAGGTCCATTTCAGACGCGATCAACTCAAAACCTAACAAATAGTCATTTAACCCATTCCAACATACAAGTATTAGAAATGGCAAACCCAAATGCTGAGAACATTAAGGAACTGACAGCTGCTCGTCTTCGTCCTGTCATCGATTCCTTTTTTGCAAATATGACAGCTGAGCAGTGGCGTTCCATTAAAGCAGGAAAGCCTGACATCGCCACGAAGACTCTTCTGGCTGAGGCCATTATAGAGATCATTGAAATAGCGTCGAAGCATTTTCAAACGCTCGCCCAGAATGCCAACATTGAAGTCTCGGAGGAGGCTGTTTTGGAAAACATGGGCAACATACTTCCCGAGCCTTTGGTGGAAGCTTTGAAAGCAGACCATCACGGCCACGAGGATAGCACCAAAAGCTTCGAGCAGCTCTTTGTTAAAGAGGTTCTGCTGAGTGTTCAATCTGCTCAGTCTGCTGACAGTCAAACAGGCTTAACTTTAGAAAACCAGCACATCATTCCTCCAAATCAACTGAACAAAATGATCAATTTTGGTGGGAGAATGATTAGAGCTTTCATCTCAATGATGAAGTCTGTCGGCAGGAGCGCTGACATCGTTAGCCTCACTGATTCAGAGGTGGACTCTGACATTTTAGACTTCCAAGATGTCCCAGAAGAACAGCTGGATAGCCAACAGCAGAGACTCGTGATAGGCTCAAAGGACAGCTTAAATACGGCAACTCATAAAACGGTGGAGTTTGTCATCCAAAAGGCTGTCGCTGAGCTTTTCCCAGCTGTGGATGAAACTGAAGATCCTGAGTCGAAGAAGCTGAAATCAGCAATGATCAAAGAGAGCGAGCAGTTTGCAAAAGAGCTCACTCGTTCAGTTGAGGCAGAGATTCAAAGTTCCCCAGAGAGGGATGAAGTTATCACTCCTGCATCGTTTAAAGGTAAGTTGGAGCAGCCACTAAAAAACACCGCAGCTAAGATTAAAGTGTTCTTTGCGAAGCAGTTCGCCAAAGCAACGATTCTTCGCGCGGTCAAAAACATCAGGGCAACATTTAAGAGCACGGGGAAGGACGAAAGCAGTGAGTCAGTGGAGAAGCTTGTTGATGATTTTCCGGTTCAGACCGTAAAAGATCTGAGCGACGATGAAACCTGTGAGCTCGAACTCTTTAAAAACATTTCTACGGGCAAAAGTCTGGAGTTCACCAAGCAGCTCACAGAAATGCTCGCCCACCACGCTTCCCCCGGCGTGGCACCTGAAATTTTTCCTGATCGTTTCAGAAGAACATACATCAACAGAAAGGTCAGAGTTTTCATGGCACTCATGAGGTGGTGGTTTCAGACCCAGGCTGAGAGCCAGAGTCAGAGCGTAATGCTCGCATTACGTGGTGCAGCGTCAGTGACACAATCACAGACAAGCGTCCCAACATCCCAGCCAGAACCTGACCATACTGTGCCAGACGCTTCTCAACGTAAAGTTTATATCAAAATAATCCTTTCCAAATTATTTAGCCGTATAGCTAAAAAATTAAACATCAAGTGCACTTGTGGCTGCTCTCAGAACATCCACAGTTGGGTGCTGGAAGAAGTATGGGACCAACTGCAGGATAAAGAGCTTATTATAACTCCCCGAAACCTTAAAAACCTTGAAAAGCACATTCTCAAAGACCTGCGCGATGTCTTTGGGAGTGTAGAAAATGTTCAACTAGCTCTGGAGTTACAGAAATCCAAAGCTGTAAAGGTAATTGCAACTAGCTTGACTGAACATCTGTCAAAAGCGAAAAAGCCGTCTGCCATTGTCAGGTTTTTCACTGCACTGGCCAAAGCCATCACCAAGCCGTTTAAACGCACAACTTGAAATGGTGGCTTTGAACACCAACTCGGTATTCGTGTCTTTTTCTTTCAGACCAATACCTAAATACATAACATCAAAAATGTCGTAGCAAGAGAGAAATTTGATAAGAAGTGGATTCGAGTCCCCCAGCCGGTCTCGGCAGATGGCCGCCCCTCCCTGAGCCTGGTTCTGCTGCAGGTTTCCTCCCGTTGAAAGGGGTTTTTTCCTGCCCGCTGTCGCCAAGTGCTTGCTCATAGGGGATCATCAGATTGTTGGGGTTTTCTCTCTTGCATTGTAGGGTCTTTATAATATAAAGCATTTTCAATCAGCTTTTGTTATTGGGCCCTATTTAAATACGATTAGAAAAAAATTTAAAATTCAAAATCAATAAAACAAATTCCAAATTTTAACTTGTATTTGTGTCTCTTTTTATTTTCTGTCTTTATATTCAACAGGCTAAATAATGAAATTCACTGAATTTTATCTTCTGTTTGCTTTTGCGATGTATAAAAAGGTCAAGTTAGGCGTGCAATCTTATAAACACGAGGCAGTACTGAAGCTCTCAAGGTCACTTTGTTTATCAGCTGTTGATCAAGTTGTTTCTTTGTGTGACAGAACAGATTTATTTTTAGATAAAAATTTCTTCTAAGGTCGTTTTCAACAGTTCTTTCTGAGTTAGCAGCTGGAGCTTTTGATAACCAGCGAGGCACCAGGAGCCTTTTAAAACTTTGAAACCAATGGGTGCTGCCCCTCGGCAGGCTTCCAGAAAATGGCTGAATAGTAAAAGAGAGGCGGGTTTTAAGGGACAGGAGCTAAACTTGTTTTTGATAAACTGAACATCTGCAGGCTGTCAGTACAACATGAATAGGGATTGTTTTTGGACTCTAAATCATATAAAGCAGGTCTGTTGCTGGAATAATCAGACGTGCAGAAACATGACTTGATCCTGGAGTATAACAATAGGGACAAACGCATATCTGCAAAAGATCTTCATTTAAAAATAAATCGTATCATAAAAACATGTCACCTGAGAGTTTTCTGACATCAGCAACAGTTAGAAAGTAAAAATCAGGCTTCAGCTTCAGGCGTCAATTTTATTCGATATAAAGACAGGAAGAGATGGAAGGGAGCTGTGACATCTTGGTCGGAGGTCCGGGGAAGTTCTGAAGTGTTGCAGGAATAAAACGCGTGGCTTCGATCTGTCACGTTGATCAGTTATGCTGGGATCAGTTTTTGAATGGGTGACTTTGACAAATAGACGCTGTTTAGTATCCGAGTGCAGCAAGGGTGTAGATTTGGTTTTGGCGTTGGTGGGGACCGAACCCTGCCCTGTTTCTTTTTGTTTTTGCTTCTTAATAAAAAGAGGAGAAACATACTTGCCTACTTATGCTATTCTGCATGCTTTTAAACCATTTAAAATCACAATTCATAGTTTTATATGTGAATTATATAATGTTAAATTACTATTAAACAAATGACTGACTAAGTATTTTAGGCTTTAGTTTACTTCAGCCATATTCCATATAAATCAGGTATCATACAAAAATAAAAATAGTTTCAAATACAGTCATGACAATAAAAGAATATGACTTTAAGTACTTAACAACATTACTACAACATCTCTGACACATTAGCACTATGGGAACACTGAATGACCTGCTGGTTTTTGTCCATAAAACTACTCGTCTAAGATGACCACAAAGTAAAAGATCTCTCAGCAAAATTATGCAACATTTTAGGCACTATTGTCCCGATCAACTCAGTGAGCTGGGATTTTTTATTCTAAACATGAACTACTGTTACAGCAACAGACATGGACTACATGCCCCACACAACAAATCTACGCCCTTGCTCCATAGTGTAAATTAGCCTTTAAACATGCAGTATTTCATGTCCAATTTAAGCTCTTGGTCCAACACCTCCTCTGAAATGTGTTCATTCACAATCATTTTAAACTTAACACTTACAACTGTAGGATGTTTTGTTGTGATGGGTTTTTTTTTCTTTCACTGATATAACAGTAAAGGTTGTGAGAAAACTGAATTCACAGACACTTTAGTTTTTTTCCTACAAACTTTATTAGCCAAAACACACACACACAAAATAATTCAAAACTTCGCTGGGATCCACGAGGGCAGAAGATCTACTCTTGTGTTTGACTCACAGGTGCTCACTCAGTTATTTGACAATAATGGCTGATTGTAAGTGGAATCATGTGTGGAGCTATTTCAGCTCCACAAACAGCCATGATGCAGTTTGTGACACATGTGGCGAGGCCCCAAACCTTGTCAGACGCAAACAAAAGTAAATCATAACACAGAATATGATGATGAGTTCATGATGAGGCGAACTGAAGAGGTGAGAGACAGGTGCTGCTAGGATGAGACGAACATCACTCGCAGAGTCCTTTGGTGTTGCAGGCAGACAGACAGAATTTTATGAAGGCTTAGGTTTTTGTGTTTATGTTTAAAAAGCGGGATTTCCCCGCATCATTAAAAGCCATTCGTTCAAATTAATGAATATAAAGAATGAAATACATGCTACAATAAAAAGCTTTATGAGTTTAGCTTGAAGTAATACGTGTGCTCCCTGAGATCACCTCACATCAGTTCAGTTGGCCTAGATTTAGTCAGCTAAGGTTGTAGAGTAGAGCTGTTAAAGTGGATCATTTAGGCTTCGTATCATTAAAATAAACAGTGTACTTGCAGTAAAACAGCCATTATAGGCTTCAAAAAATAAAAATACAGCTCAAACATATTTCATACATGAAACAAATAATTCAATTCAATTAAATTTTATTTATATAGCGCCAAATCACAACAAAAGTCGCCTCAAGGCGTTTCATAGATACAGAGAAAAACCCAACAATCATATGACCCCCTGTGAGCAAGCACTTTGGCGACAGTGGGAAGGAAAAACTCCCTTTTAACAGGAAGAAACTGTCATGATCTGGAGTCTGCGACTCCGTGTTTATGTTATTATTATTCTGTGGTTTTGGGGTTCTTGTACATTCCCTGTTAACGTTTCATGTTCCTATGTTCTGTGTTCCCCAGTCTGTGTGAAGTCTGTGTGTTGTGTCATTGCGTGTATGTGTTTCCTGTTTTATTGTGAAGGTCTGCGTCTTATGTGAGTGTTTCAGTTTGCCTCCCTTGTCTCGTCAAGTTAATCACTCCCAGCTGTGTCCCCCACCTGTGTGTAATCTCCCTGTGTTCTCTGAGTGTATTTCAGTCATCTTAGTAGTTGCTGGTTCGTCTGTGTTATTCCCCTCCATTTTCCTGTGTATTCTGGCCGCATTACTCTCCCTGCATCTATCCCTGCAAAGCTATCACTATGCTTTTTGTGACATTTTTGTGTGGTGGTGTGCCGTGTGATCTTTTGAATGTGAAATATGTGCCCTGGCTCCAAAAGCCAGGAAACATTGGTTTATGTCATGTGATCATGAGTGTGATGTCACAGGGGAGTTTGTCAATTCCATCCAGAGATCAAAGGACACCAAGACCCATAAATAGGACAGACCCATGCCAACAAAGCCCATATAGTTTACTACAAGCGCGAGTTATTCAGGATTCTTTATTTGTCACTTGCATATTTAATACTAGCACAACACGCAGTGAACCTGTCCCAAAACGCTCCTCGACCGTGCAAAAAGAGTTGGACGTGTATTTTCTCGTTTAAAACAACTTTGAATATTTTAGTGATTTGTTCAAAAAAAGAAAAAGAAGAATGGCTACAGAAAAACAAACCCAATACAAGAACATGTATCACAGGATCGAAGCCATTAAAGAACAGTTATATGCTGTGCAACTCCAAATTTACGAGGTCAGCACTGAGCTCCACAGCCCTGAATATATGGAGGACAAATATTTCATAATGAGGGCGGAGGAAGTGAATGCAAGAGCAAAATGTATTTCTCTTCAAAAGGAATTAAACAAACTCTTGGACGTAGCCCAAAATCATACATCTAACGCTGAAATAAGAAGGAAGAAAAAAAAAGCTGTTGAAGTGTCTCAGGAAATGGTCAAAGACAACAGCGGGCCAGAAGTTAATGTTACCATTAAAGAAGAAAATGAAAGTGTCACACAAGAGCATGTGGCCCTCAAGAAGCAACTTCAAGATCTGCAGGCATCCGAAATAAAGCAGCCTTAGAGAAGAACTGTGAGGCGGTAAAAAAATGTACAGAAGAGATGAAGGCGCAAAACAGTGCACTGCAACAGCAAATCCAGAGATTGAAGGAGGAACGCGAGCACATAAGCAATTTGGTTCAGGTCTACGAGTCTGAAAAACAACAACATGTCGCTGTTAAAAGGGAAAATCAGAAGTTGATGAAAGACATCAAGAAGATACTTACAGACGTTCTACAGGCCAGATCATCCCTCAAAGAAACTTACAAAAATGACCATGATCTCAGGAAACTGTTCTCTGAAAAAGGAGAAAAACTGGCACAAATGAGCAAACTGAAAAAAGAAAAGAAGGAATTAAAAGCTCAAATAAGTGAGCTAAATGATTGTGTAGAAATGAGAAAAGCGTTTAGAAAACTAGAAAAGGAAGAAAAAGCCCTCCAGGGGCACAAAAAAAGTCTTTTTAAAAGGCGTGCTGATGTCTCCAAACAGGTGTTTACTGAAGAAGACTGGAGTAAAAAATATAGCATACTAAAGGAACAGGTAGAAGTCTTGAAGCAAGACAATAACGAGACAACTACAGAAATTGAAAGACTGAATGGAGAAATAGACAGTCGAAAGACTATTAATGCAAATTATAAGGCTCTGGAAGCAGAGAAAAAGTGTGTTACCAGCCAAGGTACCACTCTGCAGAAAGAGCTTGAGGGGCTGCGGTCAAAGCTGGTTAAGGAACAGGCTTTGCGTCAGCAGAATAGTGAACTTAGAGCAGAGATTGACAACCTCGCGATTTCAACTCCTGCTCTCCAAGCTGAAATTGCAGAGCTCCGGAAAAACCTCCAAGAGAAAAGAGTTTTTAACCTTGAGTACAATTCCCTGAAAATGGAAACAAAGAGCATTACTGAGCTAAACAAGGTCCTGCAAAAAGAAGTGGATAAGCTAAAAGAGAAAAGGCTCTGCAAGAGAAAGTCACAGCAATGAGAGCGAAAAAAGAGAATGTATGCAGACAACGAGACGCTCTAAAAACAGGACTCAGCGATTTCACAGACTCAACAAGGTCAGACTTTGAAAGTTCAGTCACAGAAAGAACCACATTGTCAGTTTGGAGAAGATGGTTTAAATTTAAAACTTCAAACAAGAAGGTTAGAATGTGAGTCCACCACTGTGTGAAGTCTGACTTTATGGTGTTGAACTGGCTTTACTCCAGGGGCCTTATTTCAGCTCTAATCTCAAAAATAATATTAAACTGGCACTTTATCCAAGTTACAGTTAAACAAAACCCAACCAGTCGAGGCGGATGGCTGCCCCTAGATGAGCCTGGTTCTGCCGGAGGTGTCTTCCTGCTCAAAGGGAGTTTTTCCTCCCCACTGTTGCCAAGTGCTTGCTCACAGGGGATCATTTGATTGTTGGGGTTTTTTTTTTTCTTTTTGTCTTTGTTTCAATTTTTTTTTCTTTTTTTGTTTTATTTGTCTTTGTTTCTGTTTTTCTGTTTTATTTGTCTTTGTTTCTTTTTTCTTTTGTTTTTCTTTCATGTTTTGTTTTTTGCCTTTTATTAATATTGCCGGTTTAATCCAATTAATCCAAATATATAGGGTTAACTAATAAAAACCAAAATCAATAATCAATGAACAAACTGTCTCTTGTAAATGTGTTTTTAGTTTTCCATTTCAAAATGCTTCCTGTTAGACATGCTGTCTTTGGTACCTATTGTATTAGGGGAAAAAGTAGGCATATTTCCATAAATTAGGTATTGAAAAAATAACAATGTTAATGCAGTGGAGGCTCTGAACTGTCAAAATAGTGCACCAGGAGCCCCAGTCCCAATAACTCTTAAAGTTTCTTTGTTGACTCTGTTATGTGGTTAAAACCAAGAGAGAGTTGAGGATTAGAATTCCCAAAGACACAAGTAACATTAGAAATAAAGATCAGACGTCCCCTGTAGTTAGATTGTGTTTCATACAAAATTAAGTGTTTTTTTTTCTTGCACAGACACCATCACAGATATCATTGCTGTGAGCTTGCGGGATAAGGTCCATGTGGTATTTTACAAAGGCTTATGCCCACGTGTGCTTAGTAAAGCCGGGTGCTGAAAGACATCCATTGTTTTCTTACTGCTTTATAATACTAAACATTTTATATATGTAATTGTGAGAACTGAAGCTTCTATTGAATTTGAATTTGAAGTTGAACATAGTGGCTTTTTGTCATGGTCCTGTATCTTCAAAACAGTTTTTGAGTTTGTTATGGACGTGTTATTTGTTCTTTTTCTTTGGAAATTTGAGATAACTTGTGTTCTAGTTGTGTATTTTCCACATATGTTAATCTTGAACTCAGTTTTTGTTAGTGTCTCTCTGTGTTTCGTCCCTTTTTCTACCCTTTCTGTCATGTCTCAATGTCTGTTTATCCCGAGTTGCAGTTGGAAATTTACATGTCTTACGGTGTGTTCACACCGAACGCGATGGACGCGAACAAAAACGCCCCAAACGCCCCTAATTTGACGCGTGCACATTCGCGCCTCAACGCGTGTCCAAGAAAAATCCATCGCGCGTCAAAATATGATATTTTGAC